GTAGAATAGTATGCATAGCATGCACTTATAAAGGAAAAAAAACAAACGGAAACATTTATGACCGCCATGCACAATCGATTGGAATGTCGTCCATGAGTAATCAATTTAATAGATAACGAAAAAGAAGTATTGAGGGAAAACTCGTCACCCGCATCATGACAAGGCGAATCATGAAGCGATGTAGAGGATTAAATAAAATCAATAAGGAATGAGATAAGCAACTGTTTGGCTTCAACTAATGGTTTCATGAGATTGACGTACTCATCATTATTTTGTTTTGCAAACGAAGGGACCAAGGAAGCTAAACCCGAGCAGCTAACATTCAGGCAGCAGTAAACACCATATACGGTTTCAACATACACTAACTAAGCAGTAAAGAATAAATAAACCACATCTTTGACCACGACAATTAGACTTATGTAATCACATTCGCATGGTTGTGCAAATTCAAACAATGCAGGATGGAAGCGGGTCAAACAAACTCTCACATAAAGGGTTTAACTCATCAATTTCGTCAACAATTAGATATCTAATATTTTTGGATAAAAACATACAGACGGTCGGGATTGTTAATATATTTTATAATTATTCATACTTGAATGTCGAAAGCAAAGTCGGTCCAAACGGAGAACTTCCACATGCATATGGGCATCGATACAAAGTTCTGCATGTCACATGCCTTTAAAAAAAATTGTCATGTATTACTTTGTGGAAGTAGAAATAATAAAGACGGGGAAATAAAAGTGAAATATTTTTGCATTAATAGCATAATTTTGCAGCATGTTTTAACCACAAATACCTCCATGAATGTTAAAGGGATCGAAGGAAGAGTCACAATGAGTTCCTATTTTGATGGAGAGAAGAGGAAACTCGTCTAATGGTTATGTTGACCATATATTGATTGATATGCGTATTGTAATGTGAGTTGGTCTCTTAATCATCAGAGGGGGAAAAGGGTGTGACGACAACGACAATTGTTAAAGATGCATAGGGCAGTGACTGAATGTGCATGGTAGTGACAAAGTGTGAAACATATGTTACATTAGTTAACCATACGGTGGGGACACTCGAGCATCAAATGGTCGGGTGTTGTCACGAAACTCAACCAACGCATAGTAGGACGGTGGGATGGCAGAATGGTGAATTATTGGGTTCGAGCCTCCATGCTTTGTTGTGATGGTGGGTTGGTAGGATGCTTGGATGGTGCGATGACAAGTAGTTTGCCTGCTCATGATAGTGGTATGGTATGGATGGTCGGTTGATAGGGTGACATTGTGACGCTTTACCATGAAATCGTCTGGTGTCATGACGAAGCTTGACCATCAGATTGTCTGGTGTCGTAGTGAGGCTTGACCATCGATTGTGGGCCGGACAAATTTTTGCCAGCTTGCAATCGTCGTATGGTGCGAATGGTCAAGTGGTAGAATGTCCGACAACTCGTGCGATTGTTAGGTGTTATACCGAAGTTGGACGGCGAAATCATCTGTCATTGTGTCGCAACTTGACCATCAAATGGTTGTTTGTCTTGTAGAATATGCTCGCTGCTTTCTTACTCCCATTTATTTCTCATCGTTCATCAACCGCCATACATAAACTATGCACTATACCTATAAGGGGAATAAACTTTCATCACAGATCACAACCATAAATCCAATTTCCCAAGAAATTTCATGATACTGCAAGGTGTGTCCGATAACAATTACATCATACACACTATATTATAGACAATCATTGCGCTGGATCGCCTCCACGGATCATCATGCTTATTCTTGTATTGCATGATGAATTTCGACCACAATGCGTCTCACGACAATTCATCATTGACCGACACTTCATCACAAGGGAACAATTTAAATACACGGGTCATAGATTTCATAATATCCGACAAAAATATATGGAAAAATGATACTGTCAGACCCTCACTTTTTGCACCTTCTCAGAAATGTCGCCCCAGACACTGAAATCCCCATGTTTTGGGTCATAGGGGGCAACGACATAGAGCTTTGTTGTGACGACTTCAAAGACCTCAAATACTTGTATTAATTGGAGAAAGAAGTCAGTGTAGAGCCCGACGGGGAGGACAATGCTAAAGACCCTGTTACACCAATGTAGATGACTGACACGTGGAAAACATTGTGTGTAAAGCAGCAATGGCTACAATAGCAGAGGAAGCACGCCAAACAACGTGTTTAGTTTTGCATAGGAAAACCGCATCTATAGTTCCCGATCTTCGTTGATTTTTACAGTCGAATCCAGGTGTTGAATCGAAATACCACTTTTGTGACACTTTCACAATAGTCAAGGTGAACGATAAGAAAATCAATATGCGGTTCCTTGCTAGAGAGGAGTTTCACAATGTCTCACTTATGTCTCATGAAGCATTCAACAAACCTGCACTTGCTGAATCGCTTGGGAGCTTTAAAACTCGAATGTCCAATGATCACATTCCAAGGAAAAAACTCAAAATGAGGATAAAATGTTTAGTGCACAGTCTGGTTCATTATCTGTTTGATAATAATAACGAGATACCATGGCCCGTTGAACATCAGGATGACACATTAGATATATTTTTCAATAAAAAAAACAATACATACGTGGGGGGAAGAAGGCAGTGAGATTTTCTACTAGTTGGCGCAAGGATGTGTACGACTGTCCTTATTGTAGCAAATGACACATTCATCTCTAAAAATAATATGAAGAGTAAAAAAATTTGTATCCTGCGAACTATGAAATTTGAAATAAGCCTGAATTTTGCAAATTCACGAGCATTAACAATGTTGTATAAAATCGACATTCACAGCACAAAAAGGTGTATAATGGAAGGCCACATGAATCTCGTTATTGGTGTTGAAGCAATATACCCAGTGGCGAAGTGTCAAAACCTCAACAAAAGAACATAGATCAAACTTCATGTGTGATAACGTAAATTCAAACTGTTGTTGTACAAGAAACTTATGTATCGATAAAATGCGAAAGAATTACAACATGTATTGATAAAAAAACAATGTATGTAAGCATAGATGCATGTGTTTACAAATACAATTAAGTGTGTGTGCGTGTGTGTGTGTGTGTGTGTGTGTGTGTCTGTGTGTCCCCAAGCGTGTGTGTATGTGTGTGTTGTACGTATATGTAACAAACGTAGTGTCATAACAACGAAAAAAAAAATATATGTTAATTTCAAAAAGTGATTGTACAATCTTAACTGAATAAACTTGTTTGTTAGAATATGAAGCGACTCGTCAGAGAAAGAATCAATGACAATTCAGTCGTAGCCAGAAGTAGAACATAAAAGTAACGTAAAAAACCCAAACAGACAAGTACACACGAGCAAAAGAAGTATTAATATGAAAAAAAAATAAAAAAATGCACAGAATACACAAACAAGAAGAAGAAAAAAAAGAAAATAATGAATAAAATAAACTACTGTTGCAAAAAAAAATAATAATTAAAAAAAGACCAAATGGCTAGGCTACCAGCCGGGCCGCCCAGATCCCGGTTGGCCAGCTGGTGCAAGGACTAGGGAAGGTTCCCCCCCAAAAAAAAAAAAAAAAAAATCCAAAAAATCTAAAAAACAAACTATGTTATGCAGAAAAATAAACTAAACAACTTTTGTCCTAGGGTCACATCGAAATTCTCCACCAAATTTGGAATAAAAAATAAACTTTTTTTTTTTTTTTTTTTTTTTTTTTTTTTTTTTTTCCCCCCCGACCGGGCAAGTGACCCCGGGCCTTTCAGGTAGCCTAGCAAAATGGCAAAAAAAAACGAAGCATGTACACGTGGAATGGATATGTGCATGGAAAAAAAGTAACAAAATAACAAATAATAATAACAAGTAAAGGGTAAAAAAACAATGGACACATGCAAAGTTGTGAAATAGTGACTAATTTTGAAGGTAATTAATAACCAAATCACTAAAAAAGAGCAAGTTGAAAAAAATATAAAAAAAATCACATAAAATTTGCACATGTGCAACGTAGTACCATAGGATCATAAATGTCACATTTTTAAGAAAAATAATATATTTTCGATAAAAAATAAGGACCTCGACCTCATGTTTTTATAAAACAAAATATTGGTTTTAACGAAATGTCAATTATTACATGTTTTCTATGTGTGTGAAAAGTGTGACATAAAAGTGTTGCAAGTCAGCGTATAAAATGATCTCTCATAGAAAAAAAAATTAGATTTAAACGAAATGTCAGTTATTACGTGTTTTGTATGCTTTTGGAAAGTGTGACGTGACAGTGTTGCAAGTCAACTTATAAAATGGTCTCTCTCAATTGTTAAACTTAAAACTAAGTTATACTACGAGGCTCGAACCGTCGCGAGTTTGTGAGTTGGTTTGGATTGGTCGACGAGAGAGGCTTTGTCGTAGGAGTTGAACCGTCGTGAGACGTCGATGACAGTATGCTTGGTGTGTTTTTTCTTTTGGTATTGGTAGAGCTCGAACCGTCGCGAGTCTTTGATTGTGTTTCGACGGTAGTAGGCTGAGTGTTTTTTTTATTGTTTTTTTATTGTTTTTTTATTGTTTCGAATAGGCTCGAACCGTCGCGAGTCGAAATGGGTTGGAGTGTTGTGTTGACGGCGGTTTAACATCTTCGAAGTTGACGTCGCGGATAAATAGACTGTGCATGGAGAATAGTTTTTTTTTGTCGGTGAGGCGTCAGAGCGGCAAGGGTCTGGCAGGATGCATGGTCACCACTGACCATGGGGGGGCGATGGCGGCGTGGTCGCTTACTTCACATCTTAACTCATCTCTTTCATTTGTGCTTTCACGTTTTCAGGATCGGCCTACCACTTGGTTGACGTGTTGATATTAATAAGAGAAAGAAGATGCTTGATACAGCATTTGGCTTCGGCTTGTGTGCTGTTGACTACAATGTTTCCTTAACTGTTGTGGTTTAATTGTTCTCTTATTAGGCGATTGTACGTGGTGGTGGTGGCGGCTTAACTGTAACGAAGATTACGGAGTTTTCAAAGTGGTAGTAGAGGATCCGTGTGCCAAGAGGCAACGAGGTTCGTGTGAAGAGTGTCGGATTGGTCAACAGGGAAGGGGACGATAGGTGGACTATCGGGATGGCGGACAAGGGCGAGTCAAGGCGGGGAAGTGGAACGAGTTCTGGTCTTCCACCTGATGGACGCAAGCGCTATAAGTGCGGAGAGGGTGGGAATTTTATTCAGGACTGCGCCGAATTCTGGCAGGCAAAAGCACTCGGTCGTACCTTTGTCCCGAGTACACAGACTACGAACATGGCGCGTACCGGGAAAGCTCCCCTGGGCGTGGGTCCTGGGATTGCCGGTTGTCAGAGCAGATCAGCCGAGAGTGGGAGCGAGAGAAGTGAAGGTGCTGACGATACAAATGTTTTGATGCGCGAGTACTTTGTCCAAATGGCAGAAGAACGGAGAGCGAGGATCGAGAGGGAGGCAGAAGATTACAGGCGGCGTAGAGAGGAAGAAGCTCGGATTAGCAAGGAGAATAGGAGGATGATGAAGCAAGAAGTTAGGAGAAAACGAGAAGACGAGAGGGACGCGAGATTGCTACGGATTATTCGAGGAGAAATTAAGAAAGAAAGCGACGAAGAAGAAAAAACCTTTTTGAAAGGGCAACGTCCGGTGAAGAGTCGGAGTGACGCGATTGAAGCGGAGAAGGAGAGACTGCGTCGGCGAATAGCTAAGGCTGCTACCGAAGATACTGAAGGAACGGATGATGAAGAGCTGACCGCACTGAGGAAACAAGAAGCCAAACTGGAGCTGAGCGAGAAGCGGAAGCGGGGCCCTGATTTACTGATAGGTAACAACCCGCCACTTGTTACTCCGAGGAAGCGAACAAATACGAAGTTATCGGCAAAATCTAAGAAGAGGATCGAGCAAATCAAGGGGGACCAAACGTGCGAAGAAGGAGGGACTAGCACTCCAGCCAAGATTGACCTATCACTGAAGCATATCACGGCTTCATGTGGTGTGGGTGGGAAGGAGAAGTTTGAGCAGGAGTGCTTTGACTTCTACGACGCCCTGAATATTGATGAGCTGAAAGAAGCGTGTAGACGGGAAAAGGTAACGTACAGAAACAGGGAGATGGCAATCGAGTGCTTGATTACACGTCGGTCAACAACAGCGTATGATCCAACTATTTTACCTCTTCCAGCAACTTCGGGAGTGAAGACAAGAAGTGCAAAGGGAATCACCATCAAGGATGAGAACAAATCGGAGAGTTCATTGTTTTCCGACAGTGACGATGATTCGGTGTGAGGTGTTGGTCGTTGTGACGACTACTATGTAGTAGCAGAAAAACTAAGGAGGCGCAGGGCTAGCAATCATGGTAGCAAGGATGATGAGCGGGTACTTCGGTTTGCGGTTATCAGGTTGATCCTGAGTGGCAGACTAGCATGGGGTGAGAAGTTTGTCAATTACTGGCTTGACGAAGTGGGGAAAGGGAAGTTTGACTTGGCGAAACCTTCCAGTTGTGTGTACGTATTGATCTCGCCGTGGTACAGGCAAGTATATATTGGATTGACAGAACGAAGCCTGTGGGCATGATGGAAAGAGCACTTGCGACAGGGAGCTAACCGAAGTAAGCGCCGACAAAATTTGTACAACTGGTTAGGGAAGGTTGGGGCGCACCAGTACGTTGCTTTGCCATTGTTCACGAGCACTAGTAGGATTGAGCTAGACGCAGTGGAAAATGCCTTAATTCGGCTATGTCGCCAACACTGAACGTACGCTTGGTCAAACAACGAAAGGTTCCCAAAAAGTTGAGATGCCGATCAGGGAGAAGGCAAACGAGAAAGAGTTCGGGGGAGGAATGGCCAATCGACAGGACCATCGGGTAAAGCCGGGAAGATTCTCGAATTTCGTATAGATGGGGTATCAAACGGAACTGTCAAGTGCGTTGAGTTGTTGCAGAGCCTGGTGAGAAGAAAGAGAGAGCATAAGATTCATTGCGGAGGGGGAGATGTTTGGTCAGATGGATGGCGACTTGTCGGACGTTTGTTCGGCGAATCCCGCGTTAAATACGAGCGTGGTACGAGACCGCTGAAGAGGTGTAAAAAACTGTTTGAAACTGAAGGGATAGTTGTCGTGAGTAGGGTCTCGGAATCGTCGCAAGCCACGCTTGCTTTGAAGCAACACATCGTTGCGCTGTTTAAGAACCCAAGTAAGCACAAAGAACTCCGGACGAAGAACCTAGCAGAGCTTGTCAAGTACTATGGCGCCGTGAAGACATTTTCAGCGAAGAAGAGTCGAGCGAAGGCAAAAGCGATGATTACTACAACAATCCGTGATGGTTTTGGTATTAATGCGAGAATGAGAGTCATTGTAAAAATGCAGTATGATGAGATAATTAAGAAGAGCGAAGTGACTAGGTTGGTTAGGCGCAAGATAGGTGGACTTCCGATCGAATCACCGTTGGAGGAGATGATAAAACGTAGAGCACGAGTTGTGTGGAGAAAGTGTCCGAATGTCGGGGACATTCTGCACAACCACCGACGGTTTTCGTTGATTCGTGCGACCAGCTGCCCGTGCGCTGGTATGTCCTATCCAAAGAAGGACGGACACGTGCATGTCCGGATCAGCGAAATCGATGGGATCCCGCAGATTGTGAAGAATGTCAAGAACATTCCGAGGTGCAGTGAACAGCGTCGAGATGAGAGGCTAGCGAAGGAAGTGAATGAAGCTTTCCAAGGATCGAGAAGTAGTATGAAGATTGGCGAGGGCGCTTGCATAGTTACTAAGGAGGAAGTACTCGATTGTTTCGTCAAGAATCCTAGTTGTGAGTTGAAGGATGGATTAGAGGAAGTCTTGGGTGTGACAGAGAGACTGAAGGGCCTGGTGTTGGTTCCCCTGGATCGTAATCCGGAAGACACACTGGTTCTGTACCCGCAGATCTACACTAAGGCTATGGAGGACACCTTTATCTTGAGCGGCGAATATCGCTTGGCTGATTCAAGAGAGGAGGAGATCATGGAAGTGGCCAAGAAGGAGTACGAGGACAGGGAGCTATGTATGCACGGGACATGGAATACGGGGGGATGGATAGGTTGTGCGTATGCACTACCGAAACATAAGGATACTGCTAAATACAGACCTATTTGCCCCACGTATGATGAACCTGCTATCGGTGCATGTAAATTGGTCGCAAAGGGAATTAATTGCTTACTGTTCTCCTTACCAGAGTCAAGTAATTTCAACCTTAGATCTATTGCAGATATGAAGAAGAGGTTGTGTGGAATTAGTCGGAGATTGGGAAAGAGTAGGAATGATGTTGAGATCGTGGGTGTCTTGTTTGATATAAAGGATATGTTCAGTCGATTGCCACATCGGACCATTCTTACTGCAATTGAGTGGGCGATATGGTGGTTCTCTGAAAAAGGATACGAGGGGGTATTCGTACAAAAGAGAGGGAGAGGCACGAGGCTAAGCAAGTATTGTAGTCTTGAGGGATTTCGTTTCATTTCCTTTAAGTATTTGTTGTCCTTCATAACTTTTGATTTGGAGTTCTGTTACACGAGAGCATGTGGAATTCCGCTGCAACAGGTCATCGGGATACCAATGGGCAAGAGCTCGAGCCCCCCATTGGCCTGTCTGATGTGTGCAAAGAGCGAGTGTGATTTCCTCGCTTCATTGGGTAGTTAGAAGAGACTGTTTTCAGGCTTGAGATTCGTTAACGACGTATCAGTATTCGCAGCATATAACAAGAAGAGACGGGGTGACAAGGAGAGGGCCAAGAGAATGTTGGAGCATTTTGGGCAGTGCTATGATCAAGCACTGACACTGAAGCGGACCAGTGAGGGTGACGATAGTTTGGTCTTTCCTGGGCTGCAAGATTTTGATTGGCTCGAAGTATCCTTTTCTGAAGATCACCTTTCTCATGAAGACATAGCAGGAGTTGCGGAATGGGGGTGACCTCCCATTTCATACTTTCTAAGACGTTGGATCGTGGTCTTGCAAACGAGCCAAGATGGCCGTGATTAGCAGTGCTCTCCACCGGATCGAACAAAATTCGGTTATGGGCATTGACTTGTTGGATACTTTGATTTTGTTGAAAACTGAACTTCGGAGGAAAAATTACCCAGAACATTGGTTTGGGGCTGTGCTTCGGAATTTTAGCCGGGACAGAAGTCCGACGTGGAAAATGTTTGCTTTACTCCTGTCTGATTGCAAAGGTGGTTTGGATTGACGTAGAGTTAGATGGGATGTAGGAACGTAAATGGTTTGAAGGGACCAGGTTGAGCCTTGTCGGGGTAGTCTCATCCTTGGGTCCCATTGATGGTTTGCGTATGATATGTAGGGACCAGGCTGAGCCCTGTTGATGTAGCCTAGCTATGACTGACTGGTCCTAGTTTGGTTCCTAATGTTGTTTGTGCTGAAAGATACTACGAGGCTCGAACCGTTGCGAGTCTGTGAGTTGGTTTGGATAAGTCGACGAGAGAGGCTTTGTCATAGGAGTTGAACCGTCGCGAGATGTCGATGACAGTATGTCTGGTGTGTTTTTTCTTTTGGTATTGGTAGAACTCGAACGGTCGCGAGTCTTTGATTGTGTTTCGAGGGTAGTAGGCTCAATGTTTTTTTTATTGTTTTTTATTGTTTTGAATAGGCTCGAACCGTCGCGAGTCAGAGTGGGTTGGAGTGTTGTGTTGACGGCGGTTTAGCATCTTCGAAGTTGACATCGCGGATAAATAAACTGTGCACGGAGGATAGTTCCTTTTTGTCGGTGTGGCGCCAAAGCGGCAAGAGTCTGGCGGGATGCATGGTCGCCATTGACCATGGGGGCGATGGCGGCGTTGTCGCTTAGTTCACATCTTCACTCATCTCTTTCATTTGTGCTTTCACGTTTTCACGATCGACCTACCACTTGGTTGACGTGTTGATATTAATAAGAGAAAGAAGATGCTTGATACGGGGTTTGGCTTCGGTTTGTGTGTTGTTGACTACAATGTTTCCTTAACTGCTGTGGTTTCATTGTTTTCCTAAGCTATACCATTGTACGTTTTGTCAATGCAGGAGAAAGTAGTCGATGATCATTATGCTTAATAATATAAAAATAATAGCATGTCTAACATATAAACACTTCAACCCAATGTCAAACTTCGTTAACAGAATGTTAAAAATAATGAAGCTTTAGGAGGTAGATGAAGGATAGGAGTTTGTGTAAAAAAAAATAGATTAGTGAAATTAGCTTATTTTGGTGATCACATGTAATTGAGGTGATCGTTTATGAATAAAAACGGTGCATACTTTACGAGAAGTTCAATATGATCCCTTGTGTTATACGAAATATAACACCAAAAAAACTATGAATTCGAAAATGAATAAAAAAAAAATATGGCGAGATTCATGAATAGCACTAAAAGTTGCAATGTATTCAGAGTCAAGCCGTTGAACGGTTTGTTTTTCGATGCCAAAGGACTCTGATTTTATAGCAATAAGTAACAAAGAGGTAAATATTATGTACAAAAGTCGCAAAAGCGACAAAAAAGTCAACAAAGATGACTTAAAAAAATGATATACCCCTAACAAACGTTACATTGTATGAAATGTTCGTTAGGTTTGCTACGTTTCATGTTGTGTAGCACATCGAACATGTTCAGAGCTTTTCCGAACGTCGAACATGTTCGAGTGTTCGACCGAACATATTAAAAAAAAAAAATTAAAAAAAATTGGTTTTTGATTTTTAACTCAAGTTTGATTACGAATTTGACCAGGTATTTGTATTATTATTTTACATAACATATATTTTTTTCAAATTTTTTGGAGAACTTTTTTTTTTTTTTTTTTTTTATGTTCGTGTTCGGTCTCGAAAGTTCGGGTTCGGTCACCGAACCCGAACACGATGCTACACAGGTTTTATGGAACATGAAATACAAGGTATTTCTCATAATAGCATAGTTCACATGAGAAGAAAAAAAAAAAAATAAAATTAAAATAGAGTTTCAGTTTTGTTCAAAACAAAAATAAATAAATTATTTTGACGAAATTGTAGTTAAAGCTGGTAATGCGGTGAAGAACTCCGTGCGCTCTAAGTATTCCACTGGGGGCATACACTGACATCACATCCTAGTCGTTATCTCCTATAACAAGCTTCACCCAAACCCATCGTCCCTTAAGGTCTTGATAAAAATCCATGACATCGACTTTTAGCTCTTTGTGGATTAAGACTGTGATGTTGTCAAATATTGGGGGTCAAACCATCATCCTTGTAAAGTTGTCCGTTTGTCTGAATCTAGTCTAGTTTTCTGGAGGCACAGAATATGCAGCTGCAGAGTATGAACCCATGAAAGTAAGTGTGACCTTTTGCTC